AGATTGCATCCCTTAAACTGATACACATTTCACATGTTTCTGAGTTTTCAAAGAACGGCACCTCGTTTGCTTCTCATATTTTGCCAAAATGGATGAAGGTCCCCATACAAATCAACTTAGCTTCTTTACAGTTCTAGTTTTTATGGAAGAATGCCAAAGGTAGAATTGTAAAGCTGTTCCCTTCTTAAAACAACTGATCTGACCACCGAAACACAGCTGGTTACTGAACACAAAAAGGCATGTCAAAGAGGAGGAGGGGAAAAAAGAGCCTATCAAAGGCAAGCCCTTGGATAGCTGGTTCTAAGGAAGTACTGCAGCTATGAGTATTATGCAATCCTGATTAGAGATGGGGGTATTCGTATTTGTATATGAATACCCCCATCTCTAATCCTGATGCACTGGTTATCTGTGCACTTGAGGTCCTCACACTATTATTAAATGCCAAAGAATCCCAGGCATTACAGTGTAATCTAACAAAACTAGGAACACACACAGAGCACAACTTAGTAAACAACATCTAGACCAATTAATTTGTACATTTTTAAGGCAGGGGTGGATAATGTGCTCTGACTGTTTTTTTTTCCCCTGATTTACAAGGACATGAGTAGGGTCCAATACGAACTTTAGTTTTCTAGGAGTTTTATCTAGTTCAAATATTTGCAATTATTTTTCAGCTCATACTGTCCAAATACTGTCCTTGGTGAAACATTCCTACTCTGCAATGAAGTGCTATACACCCAGCAACCATACACACCAGAACAGTTACATAATTCAGTAAACTGCAGGTACCTCACATCTACAAATAATTTAGGACAACCTGCAGTGCATAATATATTTCTGACCATCTAATCAATCAATGCCGAGCTTTATAAATGCAATACAGTACTGTGGACTACCAGAAAGACAAATTCTAGAACAAATCAGGCCTGAAGTCTCATGAGAAACTGAAAGGAATAAACGGAAGCTTCTCATGGGACGACAAGAGTCACTGGAAAAGACAATAATGCTGTGAAAAGGCAAAGACATTAGGAGAAAAGGAAGACCTAACATTGAGTGCACTGGCTCAATAAGAGAAGCCGCAGCCTCTAGTTTGCAGGATCTGAACAGGGCTGCTAAGGATAAGACCTTTGGAGGTCATTAGTTCACAGGACTACTGTAAGTCAAATGACTTGAAAGCATCTAACAGCAATCACAGTTGAAATCAGAGCAGGATTTTAACCATTGGCCTAGAAGTCCCAGCAGTCTTATCAACTTGAACCTTGCTGGGTGCACGGAGGTTTGAGGTACAGTATATAATTGTCAAAAGTCTCTGTATGTGTTTTAAGGCATGCAAGTAGCAGCCTTAGACCAAGTCCTACTATTGGCCCATCTAGCTCATGATCGTCAACACTGACTGGCAGCAACATCATTCCAGGGTTGGAGGCAGGAGGCTTTTCTCGTTTTTATCAAGAAATGTCATGCCTAAGTCATGAAAAGGACACCCACTCACCAACTGAGCCGTGGCCTCTTCCCATAAAAGAAGCACCTAGGATCTCGATCTCTCTCTCTCTCTCTCTCTCTCTCTCTCTCGTTTTTATCAAGAAATGTCATGCCTAAGTCATGAAAAGGACACCCACTCACCCACTGAGCCGTGGCCTCTTCCCATAAGAGAAAGAAGCACCTAGGATCTGAATGGATGTTTCCAAGCTTACAAAGCCATTCTCTCTCTCTCTCTCTCTCTCTCTCTCTCTCTCACACACACACACACACACAACACAACCAACAAACAACACGAACTGTTTTAAGTTTGTGATTTCATATTGGCCAAGAATAGTTTCTGGAACTGAGTGACTGACAAGGTTCTCTGTTATTGCCAGAATCCAAATTACTATCTCAAAAACATCTTAAAGAATAGAAAAGTGTACACTGAATACTCCAGCAAAGTAAGCTGCATGAGATGGGAATACTCCAGAGGTAAGTTTTAGCAAAATACCCACTATTCTTCTCTGTCAAATCCTTTAATGTTTTCTGCAGCTAAATTTGTAAGAGTTTCTTTAACAGTAACTTGGGGTCGAATGCATTAATGCCTTCTGCAGGACAACCTCCTGTTGCATCAAAAGCATATGCCATGAGCAGGATTTTTTTTTTAAAAGTCCATCATTACTATCCTAACAGGAACGACATCTTACATAATGTGTTTGTGTTTAAAATCAGCAACAATTTATTTATAGTCACCTCTTCTACTACGGTCAGCCTCTTCTACATCAAATATAACACAGTCCTTAAAATAATTTTTATATGCTAATGTTCATATTGTTGCTAGGTTTTATTGTATTTTAGCATTTATACAGAATATGCAAGTGGTGTATTTCTGTGGCACTTTTAAGACTAGCAAGTTTTATTTGGCATAAGCTGTCACTGACTGCAGCCCACCTCTGGACTGAAGTGTATCTGAAGCCATGAGGTACAGTCCATGAAAGCTTGTGACTGGGTTAGCCTTAAAGGTGCCACAGGACTAAATGTATAGGTAGCAATAACATCATCAAAGACTAAGAACAGCAACTGGAAACAAAGCATATTTTAAAAACAACCAATCAGAAAAACACGAATGTCGATCTCATTTGTTTTTTAATTATTTCCCTATCATGATTTGTTTTGCCTGTTGAATTGCATATGCATATTCAGAAGACCAGGGAACTTTTTTTTAAAGTAAAGACATTTAAAAACTGCTTACAGCTCCAGGAATAATGGTGGAACACGTCTCCCTATTTTGAGCGGAATGGACACCCTGGTGAGCACACTTAGGGCCGCAGCCTCACTCACTTGGTTACCTGCTAATGCGGCAATAAAGAGACCCATTACAGCTGTGAAGTCATTTCACAAACGTATGACACCTCCTGTTGACATTTAGAAAGGGGAGGCTGGCATTTTTAAAAGGAGACAGGCAGGAAGGATGTTTGGAGCACGGAGCTACCAGTCATGTTTTTATCAGGAAGGTGATCCACTTACAGTTTTCCCCTGGGGGGGGCGGTTGGACTGACCCCAGAATACTCGTTACACACTTCAGAATGTTAGGCAGGATTACTCCCTGCTGATGATACAGAAGAAGATGCTGTTTCTTCTCAGGCGAGCCTACAAGGCCTCACAATTAAAATTAGATGATAATTTTGGCAGGACAGGAGGTGCTGAGCCTAGAAATGTCCAAACAACTCTATACTGACTTGTAAGCTCTGGTCCACAAAACAATAACAGGATATTCATTGATCAGAAAGCAAATTGGATATGCTCACAGAAATCAGAGCCTGGAAATGCATTTAAGCCATTGCTCTGCATTACACAGGAAGAATGTATCTAATCCCAAGAAAATAGCATTTTGATAGTTATGTTAAACTGTTTACAAAATTACTTAAGAACATTATTCTCTAGATGCATCAATTAGCTTGTCCTCTTGTTTAGCAGAAAACAAACAATTTAAAGATCAACACATTAAATTAATGCCTATGTCCAATCACACGCACACACAGAGGCAAAACACAGACAACATCAAGTCAGCTAAGCAAAGAGTCAACACTGCTGTCCTTAGAGTGGCACCAACAGCACAGGCAAGTCATTCCCCGCCCCGCCCCGGCCACCTCCTCTAGTTCTCCAAGATGCCTCCCCCTGCTGTTAGCCCTCCGGACACGTTTTCGATTATGCATCATGAGGCTTCTTCACCTTTTTGGACAGACGCATAGGCTCTTTATTTTCTGAGTTATTCTTGGAAATAAAGATGGTGCCTGAGGCTAGGCCATTGCTTTGCAGCATGGTGGCAACTCACTTTACAAACTATCCTATTTTTCCGTGTATAAGATGCTTTTTCCTAAAACCATTACACTAAAAATTGAGGGGTGTCTTTTACACCAAAGTAAGCTGAGACAGCTGAGGAGAAAACAAAATGGCTAGTAACTTGCATCTGTAAACAGGCTTCCTTCAGTCACAAGGCTTAGCTTCCTACAGTCAGGAGATTTAGTTTCCTCCAGTCACGAGTCTTATGGAACTGACATTAGCTGCTGCTGAACAAACCAATCGGAACACACCTCGTTGGAGGTGGAGCCTGCAGACTCAGATGCAACAGGGACTCCTAATGTCTGAGTGTTATGAGCCCAGAGGTCGAATACTCAGAGATAGGTTTTCTTAATTTTTGGGTTAGAAAAGTGGTGGGGAGGGCATCTTATAAATAGGGACGTCTCATAAACAGAAAAAAAGGTAAGTTTTTTTAAAAAAATTTTTTTTAAAAATCATGAAGCACAAGTGTGTCTGGAAGGGTCTATGCTAGGGACTCTTTAGTATTAGTACATTTTTTCCCCTTTCCCTCCTGGCAAGGCCTTGTATAAGCACCTCATCCTCTTCAAATTCACCATTTACATTAGGCAAATATCCTCCGACTCTAATCTCTACTTTAGAAGCCAGCAATAGTGCAACTTGTATGTTAAAGTATACGCAGAATGCAAAGAGCATAACACGACTTTAAAAAAAATATAGGGATGATCTGCAGAATTGGCCATTGAACAACAAAAGGTACTACAGACAAGGGTAAGAACAAAAGCTTCCTGGAAGCCAAATGGGGCTAAAATAAGAACAGATTTCTTATTGTTTCAGAATTCAGAACTGACTTTTAAAAAGGTTAATACTTCTGTGCACTGCATTCTGTATTATCCCTCATTATACTGAATGAACAAGTGTTATTGTATACCAGTGTCAAGACAAGGCCAAGTGGCTGCAATGCATCAGGCTCAATACCCAGAAGAGCACTTGACATGCTGCCACAGCCTTAATTGTGGATTTGGACAAAAGGATGCAATGCAAAAAGCTATCATTATTAAACAGTACAGCTCTCCAATGGATTCTACACATTTTAGTGGCAATGCTATTTCCCGTACTGCCATCAAGAGATTAGGTGAAATGGCAAACCATTCCTTTTATCGTGTCTTCCAGTTTCAGTTCTAAATTCACCCTCTGTTAATGCAAAATATAGGCTCCACCTGATCCAGGGGTGATTAATGGTCCTTCCAATTCAAGTGTCTCATCTTCATACTGGTCATCCAGCTTTTTCTTTTTCTTCTTCGTTGGATCTCTGGGCTTCCTCAAGAGAGAGAGTTCTTCTGGATGCCTGATGTCTAAACAAAGACAATACAAAAATTAAATTTGTGATGGGAAAATTCGAATTCAAAGCGATACAAATTTAAAGCAAGGCAAAATTTCAAATCAAAGCAACCAGACGAAACACATCATTACTGAGGATTCATCATAATTACAAAGGACGCCAACTGAACAATTTCAAGTTACGGAGACTGAATCTATCAAAAGCCTAAAAAGAAGATGCCAACAAATATGGAAAATAAAACAAATGGAAAACAGCAAATATACATTCCAGTCTCAAAAGAAAAGGAGACACCAAAGCGTGCAAGCAAAGTGATGTTCTAGATTTCACAACAAAATGAGAAATGCCACATGTTCAAACAGATTCAGAAAAGGAAGAGACACTGGAGATCATACTGCAAATATACACTGGCTATGGGAATACGTATACTAAAGAATTTCAAAAGGAAGTCAGTTTATCCTTTGTAGACTACAGTGGATCACAGACTCTCTGGACTTTTTTTTTTTTGAAAGGAATGGGTGTGCCACAGTATTTGATTGTCCTGATGCATAACAAGAGGCCACTGTTACAGCAGAGATGGAGAAATAGAATGGTGTCCTATTTGCAAACTTTTCAAACAAGGATGCCTGTTCTCTTTCTCTGTCTTCATCAGTGGTTCCCAACCTTGGCAATCCAGGTGTTCTTGGTGTGCAATGCCTGTAAACCCAGGCCAGCACAGTTGGTGGTGAAGACTTCTGGAAGTTGGTGTCCAAGAACATCTGGGTTAACCAAGATTGGGAACCACTGATATACAGATACTGTGGACTGGCAGAAAGGCAAATAAGAAGGTTCTAGATCAAATCAAGCCTGGAAACAAAAATTATTAGACTGAGACTATTTTGTACTGGAGATACCATGAGAAGACAAGGCTCACAGGAAAAGACAATGATGCTAGGAATAGTTGCAAGCAGTAGGAAAAGAGAAGGCAAAACCTGAAATGGATATACTCAGTAAAGGATACCACAACCTTTAGTTTACAAGTCTTGAGCGGTCGCTAATGCTAGGACCTTTTGAAGGCCATTAATTCATAAGACATCTGGTCATAAGCTGGAAATGTGTTGACAGCATACAGTAACAACAAAAGAAGATAATTTGTCAATAATTAATAACAATAATCATGCATCTAAAAGTCAATTCTGAGTTACAGGGCACCTTTTCAGGGTTTTCTATGTAGAAAACCATTCCCTTCTTCTGGAGACATTGTGGGACTGTGCCGCTTTCCCAAAAGTCACACAGGTTGGCTCTTCTCCCAAGAGGCAATAATGGGGAATCAAACTCCCAACCTCTGGCTCCACAGCCAGATAATTCACTCAGTAAGCTATCCAGCCAGCTTGTCAAGAATTAAAGGAGGACTTTAAAAATCCCAAGAAACTAAAGCATACTCTTAAAAAGAAAGAAAAGAAAAGAAAGAAAAGAAAGAAAAAAAGGAAAGGAAAGGAAAGGAAAGGAAAGGAAAGGAAGGGAGGGAAGAAAGAAAGAAAGTAGATGAAGGGTTAAATTCAAATGTATCCAATGTGCTCATGGAACCCTAATCATCCACAGAACAGATTCCCCTTTCTTCACATGACCTCCCCATCTGCTCTGCAGGATGGGGAAGATCATATTTTGGTCCATGTATAACAGGAGGGCCTGGCGTGCTCTGATCCATGGGGTCATAAAGAGTCGGAACGACTTAATGACTAAATAACAAACAACAATAACAGTGTGCAGGGACAGGGAGAGGATGGAAAAAGTACATTTTATGAGCAGATATGGAAGAGGTCCCCCTGCATGTCCTGTGGTGTCAGATCATTGGTTATTCAAAAACCTTGCCCTTTAAAAAATAGAATAGATTTAAAGGAATCTCTACCTGCTGAGACTCTTCTCTTCCATTGGTATAAAAATATTGGGATTTTCTGTGGTCTGAGAAAAATCGAAGGTGGGATCCCAATAAGCAGACTATGACATCATATGTGGACGCGCTGTTAAATGTCAGCGAACAATATACAACAGTTCTCTACTAAGCTGTTTGGAAGCACTTAGAATGTCCATTTTTCTATTCAGTGACAAGTCTCAAGAACTTTGTTACTTTGTTGGAATCAACTTATAGCGACCCTAATAGGGCTTTCAAGGTAGGTTTAAGGGGTGGTTTTACCAGATGCTCATCCCTAGTGAGCTTCCCTAGCTGGGAGTGGATTTGAACTCAGGCCTCCCGAGTCCTATCCTGTCACCTAATCCACTACACCAGAGGTCCCCAACCCCCAGTCTGCAGTCTATCCAGGACTGGGCCGCGGACACAGATTTCCTAGCCCCTTGCGAGCGCTCCCCACAAGCGCTGTTGCACGCGTGCGCGCAAGCACGTTCTGCCCCTGCGTGAGCTGTGCACATGCATGCGAGTGCCCCCATGAGTGCCGTTGCCTGCATGCGTACGAGCACATTCCTCCCCCTGTGAGCACGCTGTGTGTGTGTATGCAAGTGCCCCCGAGCGTGATGTGCGCACATGCTCCACCGCCCTGTGTGCGCACCACACCTCCCCCAATCAGTCCGTGGTTGGGAAAAGGTTGGGGACCACTGCACTACACCACATTGGGAATCACACAGTTTTTAGATTTTTATTAAATTCTTGAGAAGTGTTAATCTTCTGCAGCAGAATAATCAGTGAAACCAGTTTTTAGATTTTTTTTAAATTCTTGAGAAGTGTTAAATCTTCTGCAGCAGAATAATCAGTGAAACTGGTTTATCATGCCACAAACGTCCATGGATGGTATGGGCTCTTCTCCCTCTCTGTAACTGTTGCGCTTCATTGTCAGGGCACGCTGCAAAGAGAACTTCACTACTGAGAATCATGTACAAACTGACAAATATTTTACAGAAACCTATGCCCTGTTTTTTTTTAAGCCTTTGGCATACCATGACACTTTGTTTTTCTAGTTTTCATTCACCTCCAAAGCTGGAACATATTTGAAACAGAACTCCAGTGTGTCATTGGCAGGAGAAGAGGGGAGAGAAGAGCTGCTTGGCTTTCTGCTTGATCTCTGTTTTTATTTTTAAAGAAGCGCCACTGCCAGATACCTGCCAAAGGCACAAATTAATCTGGAATCCATCCACCTGGAGCACTTGCTCTTGGCTTTCTTTTAAGACACGTCTGCCTTCTCCAAATCCACCTTTTCAGCAAAATTATTTCCTGACCACTACAGCCAAAATCTTTTATTACAAACTTAACCCTTCTTTTATTCTCACTTCATTACTCCAACAATTTCTGAGGGAGTCAAGAAATGATGGCTAAATGGTAGTAATATCCTTTGCATGCTTTTTAACAACAGCTTGTTTGGGGTTGGGAATATGAAAATAAAAACCAACATTTTATATCTTCTCTGAATATCCAGGAGTCTCTGCAGGTAAGGAAAGGGAAGGGGACTTGCCTGCTTCCAGGGATCCTGAACTTGATATTTCTTTAAAGGTACACAGCTAAAAACCACAGTCAGGTCAATAACCAATAGGTATCATTATAGGACACTGCTCCTCTCCCCCAAAATTATTTATGTGGACAACCTTGTCAACAGTTACATGGAAAATTTATCAAACACTTTTTATGCCCTCATCTCATCTGAACACCAAGTATTTTTGTCAGAGAAACTAACAGAACAATTCTCTAACGATGAACATTATTTCACTGTTAGAGGATCCTGAAGTTAAACAATTTGGTTTTTCGGATATTATATCCACAAGAATTGTTAACTAAAAAGTACTGCGACAAAACATTACAACTGTAGCGAACTGAATCACCCAGCTATGACTAGTTCAAAATTTAGGAGACAGGCCAGAATGATACCTAGAGAAGTGTTCCCATGGAATCATGGCATCTGCAAAACTAATTAAAACTTGTTGATTTTGTTTTTCTTACAGAAATAGTAACTCCCATCAATGGAAAATTTTACTGATGTGCTTACACTAAGAATGGTGGTGAGCGGGCGGGTAGATATACTGTAATTGCTTCAGTAGAGTAACAAAACTCCCTCCACACCAGCACCATACAATGTCACAATGTGCAAACCCAACTTTTTAGCAAGTGCATCTCCAGGTGCCAAAGGAGAATTGCTGACACATATATGTACCTATCCCCTTCACAGATTGCCGCCTTGTCGTGGTGAAGGGGCTTGAGTAAGTCAGAGAAGCTATGGGCTTCTCTCGTGGAGAGGTCTGACTAAACGCGATCCACCTGGAGTAGGAACTGGCAAGCCACTCCAGTATCTTTGCCAAGAAGACCCCATGGACAGAAACAAAAGGCTAAAAGATATGATGCTGGAAGATGGCCCCCTCAGGCCAAAAGGCATCCAACATGCTACTGAGGAAGAGGGGAGGACAAGTACAAGTAGCTCCAAAGCTAAGGAAGTGGTTGGGCCAAAGCCAAAAGGATGCTCAGCTGCGGACGTGCCTGGAAGTGAAAGGAAAGTCCAATGCTGCAAAGAAAAATACTGCATAGGAACCTGGAATGTAAAGTGTGAAGGCAAGAGGAGGAGACAACAAAGGATGAGATGGTTGGACAGGGTTATTGAAGCGACCAACATGACTTTGACCCAACTCCGGAAGGCAGTGGAAGACAGGAGGGCCTGGCGTGCTCTGGTCCATGGGGTCACGAAGAGTCAGACATGACTAAACAACAACAACAACATGTATCAATACCATGCGCTGTACAATCTGAGGTGAGAGGCAGGCAGGCAACAGTGCAATGTTCTAGTGACAGTAAGACAAAAAATGTATGTTCAGTAGGACAAGCAATGGTGGCAGAGAAGAACAGCTTCTTCGCTGCCTCAGAATCGGCTTTCCAAATGGCTCTAGCCCATGTAAGATCAGACCTGCTCCAAGTTTTCCACTATCATCAATCTAATATCTGTCCCACTCAATTCCCACTTGTTTCATCAGCCTCAGTTTCTTAGTAAATCAATGAGCTAGTTTGCCTGCACTTTCTGGGAGGGGATGCAACTGAGTCAATAGCCC